GCATAATGCAAAGTGCATGCAAAAGACAATTGCCAGCGAGTTGAGAGGAAACCTGGCGCCCTACTGCTATCGATTTCGGTGGTGGAACAACTGGCCAACAACTGAAAGATGAGAAGATTTAGGAGGAAGATTTAGGAGGAGGAGGAGGAGGAAGAAGCAGATTTTCATCAAAAATGAAATCAAGTAGAGATGGGCAACAAGTGAGTGAGTAACAGTCTAGAAGAGATGAAATGACCATGATAAAAACACACAGCCATCATCCAACGACATTCACCTCTTTTGGGCAAACGAGAAAACCGATTGAAGGAATGAAAATGAACAACAACAACCGTGGTCTTTATTCTCCGGTACTCAGCCAACCGGTTCCTAATGTGCACGGTACTTTGTTGTTTCAGTGCACAAAAACTTTACCTTCTTCTACTCTTGTTCTATTCTTTGACTGAATGACAGACAAGCTGAAATGGCAGGTAGAAATGCAAATAATGTGCGCAGCCAACTAATGAACCAGATTTGCATTAATTTGACCAATAATTGTGCGATTGCTGAAGAGAGGAGAAGAAGAGGAACAAAGTTAACTCAATTATGGTGCACTCGAGTGCCATCAGAAGGAAACGAGTTTTTTAGTTCACTACTCCAACATCTTTCACCGTTCAACAGCAATAGAACACAATGGACAGCAAAGTGCGACGACTTTTGAGTTTTTTAAGTCCGAAGATGTGACCAGAGCAAAAACCTTTTTCTCTCTTCCGAGTGTGATGAGGGTGAGGAGATGAGCGCCTCCTTGCCGTAGTACCACCTTCATTTATCATCTCCTCTTTCCCTCTTTTACCTTTACCTTACATTCATTCCCATTCATGTCAATTCTCTCTCAGCAGCAGCATTCTCCTCTCGACTATCTAATCTGCGGCGTCAATCAACAACAGCGACGGGAGAGAGAGAANTCCGAGTGTGATGAGGGTGAGGAGATGAGCGCCTCCTTGCCGTAGTACCACCTTCATTTATCATCTCCTCTTTCCCTCTTTTACCTTTACCTTACATTCATTCCCATTCATGTCAATTCTCTCTCAGCAGCAGCATTCTCCTCTCGACTATCTAATCTGCGGCGTCAATCAACAACAGCGACGGGAGAGAGAGAAAGAATGGAAATGGGCATCAAATCTGAGAGCAAACAAAACAGCAAAACTAAATTAAATAAATGAGTGCACTTCGGTGAGGACTACTCCGAGGAGCACATTTAACCTAAAGTGAGCAGAAGAAGAAAAGTGCGGCAAAAAGTGCGCCGCATCAGTACTTGAATTGCTGAGAAAAAAACCCTCTTCCTCCTCTTCTCGAGTTGCATCGACAACGGAAGAAAAAAAATTGAGGGTGACAAATGACAGAGGTGGTCTTGGTGGAGCAGATCGATGTCAGGTGAAGAGAGTTGGTGGTGGCGGTGGTGGCGGTGACAGCAGAGCTAATTGACTGAAAAACGAGGCGCAAGAAAGAGAAAGAAATTGTGACAGGTGTCGGCAAACAAGACTGACTGACTGACTAACTGACCAAGGTGCAAGCATTTACACACACTGCGCTTAGTGTCGCCGGCTGTGTAATCGATGATGATGGTGGGGTGATGATGATGGTGATGGTGACCAGGGTCACCCCCTGATCTTAACAACTGCTGCTGCTGCTGCTTCTTCGCAAACATCCTGCTAATTACACACACAAACAGACAAACAAGTGCTCGTGATAATCAGAGAGATCAGAAGTGACAGCATCAGCAGCAGCTCTACCGCAGCCAAGTGTGCTAAACAACGGACAACGGGTTAAATTACTAGCATCCCAATTAAACGGTCTCCAACGGTCTCTTCAAACATCATCAGGTAATTAATTAATTGACAAAAAGATATGCACATCCGGTGGCAAAGCATCAGCATTGCATTGTCTCTGGGCACACAAAAAAATCCTGGGCAAAACCAACAAAAGCCATCAAAATCAACAAAACAGAAGAAAAGAAAAGAAAGCTGGGTAAGTAGTGTTCGCTCAAGCGTAGCAAATGGGCGAAAAAGATAGAGAAAGACTGAGGGAACAACTGACTACCTAAGTTCTAGGAAGCACAACTTTAGCCATTTTAGAAGTGGCAGTGGACGCCCAAAAAGGTAAGAAAAAGGTCTGTCTGTCTGAGTGGTGGTGCGTGTGTGTAAGTGGATGCAACCACCACCACCACCACCGAGACGTGCCTAATTAGCCAAGTATTACCATCACCACCACCGTCACCACAAATTAGCGAGGCAAAACTAACTGCGCAAAATGCAGAAAAAGTTGTTGAAAAAACTGCTGACTTTGCTCACCTGATCGGNCTCTCTGAGTGGTGGTGCGTGTGTGTAAGTGGATGCAACCACCACCACCACCACCGAGACGTGCCTAATTAGCCAAGTATTACCATCACCACCACCGTCACCACAAATTAGCGAGGCAAAACTAACTGCGCAAAATGCAGAAAAAGTTGTTGAAAAAACTGCTGACTTTGCTCACCTGATCGGTGTGCGTGCAATAGCAGCAGCAGCAAACGGTGGGGGTGAATCAAATGCTGATCAATCGTTTAAAAAAGACAGTTTTGGTGAGTTGAAAGGAGAGAAAAACAAACAAAAACAAAAACAGGCAGAAAAGGTAAAGTGCACTGTGTGCTGATTAGGAGGGCTGTAAATAACCATAATAAGGTACGATAATCATCACCATCATCGTCTGCTGCTTTATCCAAAATGAACAGCGGCCCCATTTTTTATTTGACGAGTATCTTGCCCTCTCTCAGTGTTTTTTACCTGGCAGCAGCAGCTGCGACAAAGCAAATCTAATTAAGCATTACCGTCACCACCGTCACCACAAATCACCGCCATAACGTGCTGCCGCCAATTGTCGTCGTCAACAGTAGCAAAAGTTGATGGGAAAAAAAGTTCACTTCGGCGGAGTTCTAATTATGATCAAAAGTCAGCAGTGGCGGAGTCAGTTCAGTTCAGGTGGCCGTTATTAATGAACTTTTTTGAACCATCAATACATTGAGAGGGAGAGAGGCAGCAGCAGCAGTCATGACAATATTATATAGGCTAATAAAAGAAAGAAAATTATTATTATGTAAAAGCAGCTTTTATTTTGACAAGAGAGAGAGACTTATCTGAAACTGACTGGTTGGCGACGATTTCGCCCCTCTTTTTCAAATCTAACGGTTCACGCTTGGCAGACTCGGTTTACCTTTTTTCGGTAATCGAGTGCATTAAATGACAAAAAATGGCAGCGGTGACAGTGGCAGCAGCAGCAGCAGCAATCGAGTTGAAGAAATTATGCAGTTTTAAAGCACACACAAACAAACTAAGTGAAGCTTGACCACCACCTCAGTCAAGCTGCTGCACGCAACATCTGAGAGAACAAACACACACCGAACTGAAAAAGTCGTCGTCGGGTTTTTCTTTCTACCGAATAATAATTCAAGTGCCTCTTATTTTTCTGCTTTATCAAATCGTTGCTCCTACTACGACTACTACTCTCTGTCAATGGATCAGGGTTGACAGAATTACTATTTACAGCATGAGAAAGAGAAAACGAGATATCTCTAACAACAACAAAACAACGAGTGGAGGGACAGAGGAAGAGGAAGAGGAGGGGAGTGACTTACGATGATCCAAAAATGATGGACTGTGGTGGACTCTTCCGGTGCTTATCACTAGTTCTCAGTTCCCACCCGTGTCGGATCCTCCTTGAAGGTCTTCTTCAGCGGCCCAATGCCCGCCTTCTTGAAGGTAATCTCGTCGATCGTCTTCCGCTCCTCCATCATCTTGTTGATCTTTGCGTTCTCCATCGTCTCCTTGAAGTCTGTTTAACAAGAAAGAAAGGAGGAAAAGTTTTTAGTCTACAAGCTCCTTAAAATGATCACAAGTAAAAAAGTCCACTTACGCTTCTTAAAGGACTTCTGGTTGACGGGCAGCCGGGCGGGGTTGACCTTGATCTGCGGTATGTTGAGGAAGGTGCGCACGGCGGGCTGCTTCAGCGCGGCCACCTGCAGAATGGAGAGGGCGTTGTTGGTGCACCAGTACATCAGAATGGCCGCCGGGAAGTCGTAGGTGAAGGCGAGCGTCACCAGGGGCACGATGCGGGCGCCGTACTTGAAGATTGGCGTCTGATTCGGGTTCAGGCCTAGATTCAGGGGGAGATATTGTGCTATTGAAAAAGAAAAGGTAAACAAAGAGGGAAACTTACCCGATCTAAATGAGAGCTCCAGGGTGACCCAGAGGGAGAGGGCGGTGACGACGGGCAGCACCAGGAAGGGATCGGGTATGGAGAGGTCGACCACCCAGCTGAAGCCGCCCTCCTTCAGCGACTCCACCGGGTAGTTGGCCATCCGCCGGAGGGTGAGGAAGAAGGTGAGGAAGAGGGGAATCTGCGCCATCGGAGCGAGCATCGCCTTGATCGGATTGACGCCGTGCCGCTTGAAGAGCGTGTGCGACTCGTTGGAGAGGCGGGCGAACTCCATGCTGTCGCCCACCAGGCGCGCCTGGTTCATCTTCTCCTTGAGGAGGGCCTGCTCGGGCAGGACCTCGTTCAGCTTCGCGGCGGTCTTCTGCGCCGAGATGACCACGGGGAAGACGGTCAGGCGGAGGAGGAGGGTCCCGACGGCGATGGCGCCCCACCAGGGCAGCACGGAGTGCAGGAACTCCAGGTAGTGCAGACACCAGCCGATGGGCGTGTAGGGAGAGCCCAGGCCGAGGGCGGTGATGGAGGTGCTGGCGAGGTCGGTGGCGGTCTGGAAGAGCGCCTGGTCGGTGGCGCCCAGCGTCTGGGCGAGATCGGCCGAAGTCGCCGAGACGTCAGACAGGTCAATGACGCCGCTCTTTGAGGGGTCGGAGAGTGCCTTCTCGATCGCTTCAGACGATGATGAGGAGGAGGAGGCAAAGAGGGCGGCCGAAGAGGAGAAGGCACGACTGTGGTTGCTGCTGAAGGGAAGAAAATCGAACCGCTTCTGCTTCGAGAGCAGAAGATTGCTCTGCCGAAGAGCCGCCGTCGTCGCCAGATGGGTCCTCTGGTTCCAGGTTCTCTGCTGCTGATTTAAACAAAATGAAGGTTAGAAGCAGTGATNGCGAGATCGGCCGAAGTCGCCGAGACGTCCGACAAGTCAATGACGCCGCTCTTTGAGGGGTCGGAGAGCGCCTTCTCGATCGCTTCAGACGATGATGAGGAGGATGAGGCAAAGAGGGCGGCCGAAGAGGAGAAGGCACGACTGTGGTTGCTGCTGAAGGGAAGAAAATCGAACCGCTTCTGCTTCGAGAGCAGAAGATTGCTCTGCCGAAGAGCCGCCGTCGTCGCCAGATGGGTCCTCTGGTTCCAGGTTCTCTGCTGCTGATTTAAACAAAATGAAGGTTAGAAGCAGTGATTCTCAATAATAAGCCTTACATTTGAAGGTAAAGGTGATGGTGGCTGAAGCTCCGAATGATCACCGGCGGCGGCGGCGGCAACCCGGGACGACTGACCGAAACCAAAGAGAAGCCG